GCTTTTGAAACATTATTCAAAACATTATTATCGGCAATTTTATGACCAAAAATGATAAACTTAGGAGGGAATGAGTAATTCATTAGAAAAACATCACATTTTAAATCTGCACCAGGAAGCAGCGGAGGAGACTAGCTCTGAGTGTCTGGTACAGTTTAAAGTCCTGGCTAAATCTCTTTCCCTCCTCACTTGCCTCAGCTGTGCCCACCGTTCAGCATGTTCAGCTTCTCTGTTTTGCCCTAGAGTTACCCCCCTGAGATCAGTAGGAGAAAAACTGCCTGCTCTCTTGGCTTTCATCTGCCACCGTCAAAATCTAGAATGATAGCTGTGAGCCCCTTGCATGGCAGAGAGATAATATACTTGTGATTTTTACTATCTCTATAGCCCCTCTCTGAAGATCAGGGCAAGCAACACTTCCCTTGAGGTCATAGCCTTCCTTGGTCCTTTCCCTTTCTCAGTCCTTTTCCCCCACCTTCTTTAGAAAGATCTCTGAAGTGTGCTCCTCAGTGAACCACAACAGCCCAAATGAATTTCATGAGCCTAACCTAAGAAACCCTATATCTACTAAGTAAATATAATGAATGCTAAAGTTGAGAAGTGGGTTGTCCCTGCCCAAACTCATGTAAAAATCTAGCAATCAATGTAATCCATAGAGACAGGTTGAGACCTATAAGATTTTTAGGTAGCAGGGTTCTACCCTCTTAAAAAGATTTATGAGTTCCCAGAAGAATATCTGTTAGAAGGTGCCTACTCTTTTGTATCCACTCTTCCCTTCTGCATGTGCCCATTTGACCCCCTGTTCTCTGCAGTGGAGTAAAGAAATCAGCTTGGGGCCCTTCCTATCACCATGCTCCTAAACTATTCTACCTCTAGAAATGTGTACCCAAATAAATCTCACTTCATTATAAATCACTCAGACTCAGTCTTGTTTTTTATGTTGTGATATAATCAAAATAACAACTGGTACTCAAAAACTTGAGGATCAAGTACTTGGGGTGTGTGTGTGTGTGTGTGTGTGTATGTGTGTGTGCGTGTGTGTGTATATGTGTGTGCATGTGTGTGTGTGTGTGTGAGAGAGAGAGAGAGAGAGAGAGAGAGAGAGAGAGAGAGAACCCCTTTCTCCCCCTCAGATACAGCATCAGTGCCTAATTGCCCATCTCCCAATAGCACCACAGACTAGGAACCATGTTTTCAACATATAACTTTTTATAGGACTTCAAATCCACAGATAAAGAGTATTAAAAAGGAAAAATATAAGCCAATTTCATTTATAGATACAAAAATTAAATTAGTTGTGCATTTTATTCATATTTTAACTCTACACTGTGAAATAAAGACCCAGATTCCATTTTAGTATTTCTTTTCAAATGTGACAACCACTTTCTCACTAATAGAATTCTTTTCTACAGAAGAGAAACCAACCATAAAGTTTACTCTTGGAAAAGCTGGCTTTTCACTTTATATGAATGTAAAATATTGAGTCTCTGATAAAGTTGATGTTGCTGAGAGATGCTATCAATACCATCCTAAAGACCATAGACCAATCCAAGTATAGTGAATACTGTCTTAACTGATAAGAAAGAAAATGTACAGAGATAATATTTACCCTTGAAATTTCTCCGAAGGAAAAAAAAAGAGAGAGAAGTCATTTGTATTGAAGGATTGTAATATATCTTTTATTGACATCTTAGAAACATCTAAATGGTTTCCTTGCATGGACTTGGACACATGTTTGCACACATCCTCTGCTTGAGATAGGACAGAGCACTGCAGAGAACCAGGGGAGGCAGCATGAGCTACGTCTGAAGCACCAACACACACAAAGCAGGAAGGGCACTTCCATCCTGCATGTACAAGGTACCATTTACTGACAAAGTTTTAAGAGAGTTGACAGCAGTTTGTGTCAAAAAAAAAAAAAAAGGCTTTGGAATATCTAGAAACCAAACCAAAGTTCTAGACTTTAAACTCCAGGCTCAGTTTCTAAATTATATTTAGAAACAACCTAGACACTTAAGTGGATAGATAATTAAAACAGTAGTTAGAAGCTAACTTATAGAGTGACTAGATTTCCAAAGGGATATGATAACCCCTGACTAGGAAGCATGTGTGAATCTAAAACAGTTCTTGAAAAGCATTTCTGTGAAGTTCATTGACATGAACAAGAATACTTATTTAAGCAAGATCAGTGGTGTAGTAATTTCACCATTGCATTAGCTTAGGACAGTCTAACTTGACTAATACATCACCAGGAAGCGATGAGATAAGATGCTGTCCTGATGGCTACCTAGAGGAGGCTGATGAAAAGGTCACAACTGGCTGACACTAGCATGAAAATAGCTGATCTTATATTTTTGTTCAATGGTCCAACTACTCTGAATGAGAAATTTATTATTTGGTACTTCACCTAAGCTAACTAATATGAATGTACCAAAGCTACTACTCAGGATAAATTAGGCTTCCAAATCTTAGCTAAAGGCTTATGAAATTCTCTTCTGGGATGTCTTTTTATCCTCACAGCTAGATTCTACTAGCAGAGGCTAGTTCCAATTGACACAAATCATAGCTTAAAATGTATTAGAAATGTGCAGGTGTGTGTGCGTGTGCGTGTGTGTGTGTGTGTGTGTGTGTGTGTTGAACATGCTAAAAGCAGGGCCTTCTCTATGATTCTTTCTTTAGTGCATTCAGAGTTGTTATTTGCCTGTGATCGTGTCTACTGAGTGAGAACTACTAGGCGGTTCTGAAAAGCGTATGGGTTTCCCACATTAAATCAAGTTCCTGAGCCCTGATCTTCATGCTTTATGTGCTCTTTCCAATATGCTTCCTTTTCTGCAAAGTACAAGACCTTTAATACTCCTTTTTGGGTGGATTTTCTAAGAATTCTGAAGGCTACATCTCCAATTCACTTTGTCCTTTATGGCAAATTTCCACCACATGCAGCATTTCTTAAGAGCGTTAGTGAGCAACCAAGGCAGTGTTGCTGTCAGAACAGACACATCTGGACATGTCTAGAGTCTTTCTGGTTGTTATCACTTGGATGTCAGAATGTCATCTACAGAGTAGTGCCAAGATGCTGCTGTTCATACCACAATGCCCAGGACATACCCTCCATAACAGTTGTCAGCCCCAAGTGTGAAAAGCGCCAAAATCCAGTAAGTACTTTCCTGAAAGGAATCATTTTTGTTAAAAAAAAATATAAACATTTTTGTTTATAAGTATTACTCAAAACTTTTTGGAATATAAATGTAGATGAATTTCTATCATACAACCTTATAGAAATGGTGTAAGATATACATCTTTTGTGGCAGATGCTTTATGTGACAAATGGGTTTTTAGGAATTAGTATTTATAGAATCACTGAGGGTCCCATAGAGACACTCAAATCTTTTAGCTAGACTTGACTTTGTTTTGTATAGGACATTATTTGCTGCCTGATATTTTCGAGGCTCACAGGATCTCAAGAAATAACTAAAGAGTCATCTAAGGATTTGTACCTCTGGTCCACACAAAATCTGATGCCTCGATCTGCTCCATGATTTAATCCATAGTACAACTTTATAGACATTGTGAATACCATTGCACAGCTGATGTAACGGAGGCCAAAAGTAGCATTTCTAATTTTCCCAAAGTCAAACACTTGAAAGTAAAAACCCTAATCTGTCAGACCCGAAGCCTTGATTCTTCCTATGCATATTGCCATCTGTGGGGACACCTGAGTTTCTTAACCAATGGACAAAAGCACCTCAGCCCACATAAGAGGAAAAAGAAATAGGGGGAAATGAGGGCTCTAACTCCTCACTTACAATGTAGCTATGTTATGCTAAATGTGCTACACCGCTTCCTCTGTGGGTTTGTTGATACCTTGGAAAAATTACAGATGTGATTTATATAAATCTTCTATCACGTAGATAATGCAGGTAAAGAAGAAGCCAGATTGCCCTCAATTTACTCAGATCATTGAATAGGAAATGACGGTTTTCACCCCATTAAATGTTCAGGCTTAAAAAAATCAAACCAGTTCCCACTGTTTCCAGCTGGAAAGCTACCTACTGTGCTGTTTCATCTGTACATGTCCTATGGTCATTTATCACTAAGCCTATCATAAATCTCCAAACTGTCTTTATGATAATCAGGAGACATTTGTAAAGCCCTGTTGGTTCAACTAATATCACCTCTGTGACCAACTTAGTTAATGTTGGGGTTGTTGAAAAGGGAGTGTTCCACGCTGTTTCAACATGGATCCTGTGCGGTGCCTCTGATTTCATGTCTGGAGGAATGCTCATCTCTGAATTACCAGCTCCTGTGGCACACAGCACAAATCTGCTGTGATATTTGGGGATTAACAGCACACCCAAGTTAATATGTAACCAAAATACATTAGTGGGAAATCTGAATGCCCTCCCTACATTTTTAACAATTGTCACAGCACAGTGAGAGGTGAGACCCATATGTCAAAACCTCTTCCATGAGGGAACACTTGGCTTCTCCTTCGTCATGTAGAACTAAGGTATTCAGATACAGAACTTAGGGGGTATTTTTGAGCTTTTCTGCTTTCCAGAGAAATATGAAAACTTCATTTTTAGGCACTTTATAGACTACAAATGATGTATTCTGAATACAATCTCATGTTTTAAATTCCTGTTTTCTGCTTTTCTGGCAGAAAAAAGAAACAACCATTAAACTTGTGCTGTTACCTTCCAACTACAAAGGTAATTTGATTCCTTTGGAGAATTTTTTTCTTCCTGTACCTTCAACTCCACAACCCAGTTATCCTGAGCTCTTTTGGTGTGTGAAACAGCAACACCCAAGGGTTATCTCAGAAGTAGCCCTCTGAAATAATCCTTGCGTTTGTCTCAGAAGTGACGTTGCACCTGTCACCGTGTTTTCTGAAGCTGTCACACACCGTGATTGGGATGAAGAGGTGCTGTGTGGCTGTGTTGTTCTAGATTTGGTTTCTTCCTTATTCTAAAGACTAGGAGTGAGGGAACTGTTTCTAAGGGGTTCTAGGTCATGATTTCTTCAAAGTCAGAGAGCTGCTTCATCTGTTCAATCTGCATAGAATGCCTTCGAAGGAGTTTCTTTTTACTTCTCAAGTCAACTCTCTTTGGTGAACTTGGAGCAACGGGAACCACAGATTTTAAGCCACCAGCAAGTGGGGAAGCTGGTTTGCTACTGGTTCTGATATCTGGGATAGGTGGGTTTGAATTCACATTTAAAGGGGGAAGAAAGCCAGGCCTCGTGTGAGCAATGCGGTCTAGTAAGAGAGTTCCCGAACCTCTTCTTTCTAAAAGATGAGGGGGCCTGCGACGCACTGAGCTGGGAGATGTGCTGGGTACAGCATCCAGGCACTCCCGAGAGCCATGGAAAAGGGACAAGTGTGAGCTGTTTAGTTTCTTTCTATCTAAAGGTCCTTTGCCTGACTCAATGGACACAGAGTTGGGTGGGTCAGACCCTGGCTGTACATCTAAATCATAGAGGTCATTTTCCAACAGCTTGAGAGATGCTGGATCTTTCAGGACTGTCGATCCTGGTGGACACATCCCACTCTTCTCTAGGTCAACAGGAAGTGTTCCTCTCCTGGCAAGGCGTGGATGGGGAGCCTGGCCTTTCTCGAAAGCTGCTTTCCAGGTAGCTGGTGCTGAGGTTGGAACTTTCAGAACTTGTTCTTGGACTGTGGGGAAGAGGGTGGAGTCTTTACTGTCAATGCTGTTGGCTCTGGAGAGGGGACCCCTTTTAGGGAAAGACATGTCATTGATGCTCCTGATGACCTCATTGTCTGTGCTTGTGCCATGGTTTTCATCCTGGCGTGTGGAGGCTGCCAGCACAGAAGGAGCAATCAAGCCCCAAGGTTCAGACTGGAGCCTCTTCAGCTGGGGCAAGCGGGCCCTTTTAAGGCTAGATACTTTCCTGGTGGGTGATCCAGGCTCATTAAGGGCCTTAGAAGAACTACAGCCACTTTGGTGTCCTGTTTGGGGGATGAAGAAATCATCATCCTTCTCATTGGGTGGAGAACCCAAACCAGGAGCCTTCAGTTCAATGTCAGAAGGAGATGCACAAAGTGGTGGTGACTGTCTATCTTCCACTTTGGGTGATGGAGGGACATTGAGATACTGCTTGGTGGTTTTTGTGCCTGAAGATGATTTGTCTGTTGTTATAATAATCACTTCCTTACCTTTGGCCTTGCAGGCATCAAGGAGATGCTTCAGTGCATCCTTGTCATCCGCATTTATTGCATAGACCAGAGCTGAAGCCCCAGTGCGATCCTCAAGACTGGGGTCTGCTCCATTCTCCAGAAGTAAGGACACCACTTCTCCCCCAGCTCTTCGGATGCAAGCATGGATGAGTGCAGTCTTGCCAGACTTATCCTGGATATTGGGGTCTGCCCTATTGTCCAACAGATACTTCACCATCTTAGACTTGCTAATACTTTGCTGGTCCACATGCTTGGTAATGCATGCCACCATGAGAGCTGTTTCACCTTTGTCATTGCTTTCATTGATATATGCTCCCCCTTCCAAGAGGAGTCTGGTCAGCCGGAGCCTCCCCATCCATACAGCTTTTAAGAGGGAGTTTCCATCAGTCCTCAACTCAGTGTCGTCATCCATCATGGTGGTTACAGTTTAGGACTTCTGAGCCACAGGGTCAATCAGACCTAGCAAAGAAAGAGGAAGAGAAATCATTACACATTCTATTGCTATTCTGTGCAGGACAATTATTTCAAAGTCTAGGTACAATCATGTCCCATCCTGATCCCAAGCTGTGTTGCCTCAACTAAGTTATCTAATGCCTATGAATGAGTTTATTCATCTATAATGGGAAATAGTAGTGGCTTGCATGCTAGGGTTATTCTAAAGATTTCTTCAGATAGTGTGCACCTGGGTAGGGGCTGCAGAGTTAAGAGCATTTGTTACTCCTGCAGAAGGCCTGGGTTTGAGTCCCAGAACCCACATGGTGGCTCACATTTCAATTTCAGGGAACCCAACATCTCCTGACCTCCATGGGCACCAGGCATACCCCTGGTACACATACATCCATGAAGGCAAAACATTCACACACATAAAATAAAATGAATAACTCTAAAAACGTGTGTAGAACAAACACACACAAAAAGCCACCTGGCCATATGAAAAGCAATCAGCATAATGCGGAGCATACAGGAACTATTTTTAAATTGCAAGATAAGGTTGTGTTGACTGCTCAGTTAACACAAATATAGAAACTAAGTTCCTTTAGGAAATAAACATTCATATCTTTTGTCACTGTTGGATCCTCGGCACTTAGCAGTGATTCACACATAATGAGTAGGCCACTTTGCAAATAATCATTAAAAGCATTGTTATTGATGTGGATCAGAATAGCTAGTAGAAAATACACCAACACGTTGATCCTAATTCTAGATAATAGGCCTAGGGAGGGATTCATTTTCTTTCTCTTTGTTGTGTTCCTAAATTAATATGTATCACTATGATTGTGAAGAGAAAGCAGTAATAAATATGTAAAATAAAGTCAATAAGTCCATTCTTTTCCAGGGTCTAGTCCCCCCTTTCCCAGCAGATGTCGGAATTCCCCCTTGCCTAATTCACAGTAGCCCCCACAATGCCACATTCTTCCCTCTTGTTGAACTGATAAATGGCAGAGAACAGGGAACGGTGTCGAATTTTTGCTCACATGTATTGTGAAACAAAGTTCAAAAACCAAAGTTTCCTCCATCAAAGTTTGCCTCATTCTAGCGTTATGACTTGTTCTCTTCATACGAGTTGTCTAACCCATGGACTCAGAACTTCCACACTGTGTGCTTGAGATACATGGAGATACAAATAGGGAGGTATGGAAAAGCTGGCATGGATATCCTGGCCAGCCTATGGGTACCAATTACAGTGATGCATGTCTGCAGGAATTACCTCTCCACATGGATACCCTGGGTTTCCAGCTCTCACTGAGCAGACGGCCTGTCATTCTTCCTCATCTGATCTACAGCATTCTTTCTCTTTCTGTACTACTCAAAGCAATGGCTTCTCAGTTTTCATTTTCTAGAAAATTGGAAGGCAAAGCGTTCTTGGCTGTAACTGAGAAATAGACGCTCATCCTTTAAAAAAATTAATGCATAAAAAAGAAAACAAGAGCCTGAGAGATAGCCCAGCCATGCAAGCATTAGGACCTGAATTCCATTCTGAGAACCCATTTTAAAAGACAGGCATGGTAAAGTACACCTGCAATTCTAGAGATGGGGAGCTAACAGCAGAAAGTTCTCTGGGACCTGGTGGCCAGGCAGCCTAGACTAGTTGCTGAACTTCAGGTCCTAGTGAGTCACCTTGTCCCCAAAAATAAAAATGTGGATGGCCCTTTAGGAATAACACCCAAGGTTTATCTATGGCCTCTCCACACTCATGTGCATGTGCGTACACACACACACACACACACACACACACACTCCATCACCATCACAGCCACACCATACCACATTAAGAGAAAGAGATTCATTCATCCATCCCAGCTCCTCCTGGAAGCATTTTTCTTGAAAAGTAACAGCAGCAACGCCTGTACCTTCAGTCTTCGGTGCATTTCCCACTACTTCAGATGCACTGTGCTAAAGGCTCTGAGTCTAACCTGCTGCAATTGTGCTTATATGTATAAGCGTTTCTGAAAAATTGCTGTCACCTCAGTACATTGCACAATTGACATATCAACACCTCTTTATTTCTGTCTCCTTCCTCATCTCTTTTCTTTCTTAATATCCTATTGATCTTCATCTTCTCTCTGTGTACATGGCTTTCTCTTTCTCTGATGCTATTATAATGATCTCCTTAATGGTGTGCTACCTATGGTGGCTGTGTTAAAGTCTTGCATTGTTTAATATTCAATAAACTTCTTAGTCTCCAGATCTAGAGATCCAAAGCAGAGTTTACAAGCCTTAACTAAACGAAAGGGGATATCCAATGAAAACACTTCTCTTATTCCATCATGGAAGCCTTTTTCCCCTGACCCTAACTCACCCCCCAGAATCATCTTCCTGCAATGCCAGCTCTTCTCACATTCTGCCTACCTTAAAATGTCAATGTTTCTTAAATACGCCCACCTTTCCCTCTCCTGGCACTGCTCTGGTTTCTAACTATAAGGACTCCCTGCTCTTCTTTAATTATTCATCATCCTCCAAACATCAGCTCAAATGTTACTTCCTTTGTAATCAAGAGAAAAATCAATCAGGATCCAAGAGAGAAAGTTGAGCAAATTACAATGACTCATATCTAGACTATATAAAGAACTGCTCCAAATCACTTCCTCCAAAAGAGGATACACAAATGACCCATGAGGTTTACATGCTCATCAAAGGTACTCAGTCTCATTAGTACTCAAGGAAAATCAAATCAAAGTACAAGGTACCACTCAGTGTTAGACAGAATGACAACCAAAAGGATGCAGGAAGTAAGAAACTATCAGGAACCTGCTGGAGTATAAATAGGCACCACTATACTAAACTAAAGCCTACACATTCTGATCCAGTCATCCCATCCCTAGACTGATACATGTAGTAAACTGTAAGGCATGGCTACAAAACCTCCTATCTTAGTAAATGAATGAATATCTGACCAATAAATAGACAAAATAGCATCATCACTTTTTAGCAAAGCCTTCACAGGCCTTACAACATCTAAATTTTCCATTTTGGAATCCACCTCCTTAATGAGGAAGACTGGGCTATCCCACCAGAAAGGTCAGGTGTTACATAAGCTAACTTCCTGGATATAAGTGAGACTATTTCATCTGTCTGGTCCCAATCAGCTCCCAGATGATTGTAACTGATTGAGTGAACCCACCCATAAGCTGAAAAATGAGTTGGAGAGAGAATTCCCCTCTCTCTTCTGAATGTTTTGGCCTTTGAAGAATAAGAGACAGCACTCTAGAAGACTAAGTTAGTGTGTTTTTGTCTCTGGTTATGTGATTAAAATTTTCTGCTATTTATAATCAAGTAAGTCCTCAATAAAGTATCAGTGTTATTTGTTTATTCATTTACTCGTCATCATAATCAGATATGAAGATAGAGATATATGGAATGCAGATATCTAAAATCTAGAAGGAAGGTAGTAAGTTTTTTATGGTATGCTTGCCATGTACCAAGCAATGTGCTGACCAATGACAATGTCTCTGTGCACTGACACTTAATCCTTATAATGATACTATGAGAAGGATAGCGATATTACCTATTTCTTAAATTAAAGTTTAAACTGGGCACCAGGGAGAGAAAGTCACGTATCTAAAAGCCCCCAAAGTAGTACATTGTAGAGTTAGGATTCAAATCCAGCAGTCTTACCTCAAAGTCCATGTTCTTAGCCTCTGTGTGAAATAATTGTAGTTTGGTGTAGTAAGTTGCAGAATTGAAGCCAAACTTACAGCAGGATGAGATGAGCACCATGAAGAACTAAGGGTGCAGGTTAGGAAAGGAGTCCTAATGAATGCACAATTGGGTTAGCCCTTAAAAATGGGACGGAAGTGTCCTGAACCAAAATATTGAAGGCATTATACCTAGGGTTATAAAGAAAACTGTAGCATATCACAGAAATCTAGAGAGTCTTGTGGTATAGGGTCAGGGGTGAAGAGGTACAGGCATTGGTGGAATTAGCTTACGTGTAGGACAAGCAGCATCCTTTAGACTGTTGTCCTAAAGGTAGGTGCTAGTGTGCGGAAATGTCAAATAGTGGACAGCTGCAAATGAAAAGGTGACATGAGCATTGGTGAGAGGGTAAGGATGGACTGGAAGACTGGGAAGAGCTCTCATAATACAGATGCTGAGTAAAGCTAGAGAGAACTCAGAAAGGCAGAACTGACCAGTGATACATTTGATGCATGAATCATCCACTATCTAGCTTCCTTTCATTTGAAATTAATTCTCCACTGTGTCCCATGAAGTAAATGCTAGGAACACCTAATACTAGGAAGACCTGGGGTCTTTACCAGGGGTCTCTAAGCTTGCATTTCTCAGTGAAAACAGCTGACACATTCTTTGAATTTTGAAATGCTGTCACTTTGGCCACTTTAAATGTCATTCTGTTATTTTTAAAACCTCACCTGGTGCCTAGGTAACTAAAAACACGTGCCTTGGAAGCATGAGGACCCGAGTTTGAGACCCTTAACTCCTGTGAAAAAGCCACGTGTGGCAGAACACACTTGGAAAACCAGCATTGGGGCGGCAGAGAGAGGAAGATCCCTGATGCTCCCTGGACATCCAGGTTAGTGTACTTGGTGAATTCCAGGTCAATGAAAGTTGTCTCAAAAATAAAAATACATAGCCAGGTGGTGGTGGTGGTGCATGCCTTTAATCCCAGCACTTGGGAGGCAGAGGCAGATGGATCTCTGTGAGTTCGAGGCCAGCCTGGTCTACAGGAGCTAGTTCCAGGACAGGCTCCAAAGCTACCGAGAAAACTTGTCTCAAAAAATATATATTTTTTCAAAGAATTAAAGATGAAATATAATCAAATCATAACCTCAAAGAAAATAATTTTCTTGTGTTTCAGAGCAAAAGTAAACTTAAACATGAGCATTGTCTCCCTGCCGCCTTTCTTCCCATGCTCTCGTCATGCCCACTACACCTGCATCTCGATGATCCTGAAGA